TTGGGTCGATCTTCGAGGTTGGATGGTAATTCATTTTTGCACTTGGTGGAGTCTGGAATCTGGATTGCATTGACGGGTTTGTTAAAATTGAATCAACCCCGCATTATTGACCACTGGCCCGACTGAAACAAAAAACATTCAAACCCAGATCAATATCATGCCCCGGGTCCGAATCGAACAGACACCTCTTGCGGAATCCGGCTGGGAGAAAAGCAAGTACTCGCGGGTGCGCGCCACGCGCCGCCGGAGATCGAACCCACGCAAGGAAGTGTGGCACGTGACTGTCACGCTCCGGTGGATGGCTCCCCCGGACCCCCGCCCTTTCACTGCCGCTAGCGTCTTCGCTGCGCTGGCATTTTCGCTGCGCTAGCTCTTTCGCTGCCGCTGGCATTTTCCGCTGGCGCGGGGCCTTTTTTCATGTAATTTTTACGGGCACCAAGTAATTTTTTAGACGTGTTCAATTGATGTGATGGAATTGACTGTTGCGGGCGCCGGCCCGGACGGCTGGGGTTTTCCACCCCAGACCCCGACCGCTGGCGCGGGGCCTTTGCGCTCGCCGCTAGGGCCCACTGCGTGGTGCTAGCGCTCGCCGCGAGGCCCACTGCGTGGCCCGTAGGGCCTGACTTGGATCATCCAATGGATGATTCCCACGATATTATCTCGACCGTTCTTGCTCAAAATCCTTCGCGTCAAAGACGTAGAACAATCTTTCAGGGTACACAATATGATCGCGCGGGGTTAGAAGAAAATCTGGTCCATGGTGGGAGAGAATTTAACCACGGCGAGCGTGGGAATCATCCAATGGATCGTCCAAGTCAGGCCCTATGCGTGGGGCGCAAAAAAGAGGAGCGCCGCTGGAATCGAACGGCGGACCTCGCGCCAGAAGAAAAATCAGTGAGCGCGTTACCGCTCGCCGAAAGCACCCATTGATGATGGGTTAATTGTGTCGTATCTGTTGACCCTGGCATTCCGGTGGCTCTGTTCCTTGCGTGAGTTTAAATTCCCTTGTTCTCTGCTGATTTGACCCAGAGCTCGTTCCTGTGGATTTGTAAGAGGGTGACGACAAGCTAAATGGTCAGATAACCGCTCACTCAGGTTTGTTCACTCGTGGTGGAACGAGCATCAAACCGTTTCCGCGGATGCTCCCAGTGGAATTGACAAATGAATAAGAACGAACAGAAAAAAGTCAAGTGCGACCGAATCTTCAGGAGCCCGGGTCTGAATCGAACAGACGCCTCGCAGGAATCCTTTCAGCATTCAGTAACAAATGATTGCGGGCGCGCACCACGCGCTGCCAGGCCCTGTTATATTCTGAGTTGAAACTGCGCTCGTGCATCCAGATTCGGAGGCACGAGACCTGCTCAAGGTTTCAATGGGTGAGAGTGCATCCTGAATGTATACTGCCACGAACAAGACTTGATTCGAATGGAGAAGAAAGAGGGGAAAAAATTGACCCCCGAACTATGTCCCAGGTCTGAATCGAACAGACGCATCCCGCTGAACTCTGCTCGGGGAGTTATCGATAGCGGGTGCGTACGACGCGCGGCCGGGCCTTGGTCACGTCGAATGCAAGTATGAGAAATGAGTGGAGACCTAAGAGGTCTTCGTCTCTTCGACCAGACTCGGAAGGGAGCAAAAATGTTTAACCAGGGATGTAAGAGATGAAGAAGGATGGAAGATGGGGAAGAGAAGCGGAAACGGGGGAAGGGACGGAGCAGAATGGTACTGGAAGGGGGGAGAGGTGAATGAATTGGGTATGCAGCGAAACGATAGAAGAGCGGAGAAAAGGCAAAGTGCGATGAAGGCGGTTTACGATCGTGCACAACGCGAGCGCGCCACGACCAAACCGTACGACCATCCCAAGTCCCACAACGCGCACATCGTACAACGCCGTTGGCTTGTGAGATGGAGGATAATGCGCATCACATCGCGCGGATAGCGAAGAGGATATTTGTGCATGTGCTTTGCGTTATAGTGTAGCGGAGCAAGTCCAGAGAAAGGGACGGACTGCGGTTGAGGACCGCCTCGGGGCAAGCGCGACCGGAGAGGGAAGCACGTAACGGGACGGAAGGAAAGAAGATCAAGAATCGGAGCCGGGAGAGATAAACGGGAGACAGGTGAGGAAAGGAAACACCCACCCACAGAGTGTCCGTGTGGTACGGTACCTTCCGCAGCGTCTCGCCTTCTGCAGGTCTTAGAGGGCCCCAGCTGCTTTCTATCCAGAGGACGACGTTTGACAGCAGCGAGTAAGTGTCGACGAGGATGATTCAGGGGCGTGAGTACGTATGAGGTGCTTGGTTGTCCATCGAGTCTCACAGATCTGCAGAGGATGAGGTTGCGCGTGGGCGAAGGTCAAGCCAAGGTACTTTGCAGTGGATGACATTGCGAGGCTGGAGGCCAGCGGGGTGGATAGCGTCAAAGGCAGCAAAACGAAGCACGCGGGCGAGCAAAAACCGGGCGCATTGAGGTCAACAAAAAAAAGACGGCTGCCAGAAAGTGAAGGCGAAGGAAGGAAGGAAAAAAGAGGCCGAGGTGATGCCGTGATAACCAAATAATGGCAAGTAACGGAACTCGGACCGACGGCCCGGAGTTTCAACCAAGTTCCAACACCGAACCAAGCAACACTCTTCGACGCCGCAGCGGCGGGATAGCGACCGTAGCCGCCCACCGGCAGCTTTTACACCAATCACCCTGAGCCATCGGCGATGAATCTTGTTAATGAGTTGGAAACTCTACTTACCAGCCGGCAGGCGGCGGCATTTACTCCCAGGGACTCGAGTCGGGTGCAAAGAACAACGTCAAGGTAGAGGGAAGTTCAACGGATACGAATCAAACAAAAATCCTAGCCAAAAACACACTTGTTCCAAAACATTGTATGCCCTGGGTCCGAATCGAACAGACACCTTGCACAGAAGCAACTTCTCTTAAAGCAACTCAGTCGCTGCGCATGCGCACCACGCGCCTCCATGCCTTCTTATTTACCATTTTGAGCAGGTTATGTTCGCCGGCTTAGGGAACGGAATAAAAGCAACAATTGATGTCATGGCCCGGGTCCGAATCGAACAGACACCACCCGCAGACCTCCTTCATGTTTCTACACCGATCGCAGGCGCGCACCATGCGCTGCCAGGCCTTTCTCTACGTTGGTATGACCCCGCCTTCATGTAAGTGCATTTTTGAAGCATCGGCTATTTTACTTTGCGCTCAGCTTGAGGTGATCCATGTTGATTTTTGGAGTAATCAGGAGTCGACAAACCAGACAGTGTCTAGTGTCATATTCTGCAACAGAAATTTCGATGGACATTATAGGACGCGGCGGGGAACAAAAGAGTACGCTCCCATCAATCCATCGCCCAGGTCTGTTCGACGAACAGACACTCCAACAAAACCACTGCTGGAATCATCTCAGGGGTCGCGCGCGCGTGCGCCGCCGGGCCTTGTTCCCCAGCAACCGCACTCTGGCTCGGAGTCGGGGGGGGGGGGGGGACGGGAGAACTACCTGCCCATCCAAAAGAACATTGAATCCGGCTGCTTGACTGCTGTGAGAATCGAACAGCAGCGGAAATTCGCATGTATCTCAAAGCCTAGGAAGCATTGGCAGGGTAATGGTCTGAGAGGAGTCGCGTGAAAAAAGATGATCGCTGAGAGTTATGGCCCGGGTCCGAATCGAACGGACACCTCCCGCAGAAACCGGCTCGCCGTTCGCCAATAATCGCAGGCACGCACCATGCGTCCCCAGGCCTTATTCCCTGCTACGTTGCCCCTGGTGTGTTGGGTCGATCTTCTGGGTTCGATGGCGAAATATCTTCGCACTTGCCGGAGTCTGGATCGCATCAACGGGTCTGGTTGGATCGAGAAAGATCTCCGACGCAACTCAATCCATTGATTGGCGAGTCACCGAGGACTCCAGGAGCTGGTCGATCCCAGGCGAATAAAAGCTGTCTCTGGTTTTTCAACACAAGGAAAATAAGGTCTGGAGAGATTGGACGCACTTACTTAGTAGTTACGCACGGGGAAGCGCAACAACTTTAAACCAAGCAAAAATGCCGTTACGTGTAACCAATGGCCTGAGTCTGAATCGAACAGACAAGCTCCCGCACAGATATGGTCTGACGCGTGAACAAACAATGGGTGCGCACCACGCGCCGCCAGGCCTTGTTTCCCGTTCTCTGAACCTTTACTCGTTCCTGTGGATTCGTCAGTATAGGAAGGTGACACGTTATACGATAAAATCAATTGCGCACACAAGTCGCCGTTGACCCATAGCCGTATGAGCTCAAAGGTCAACCATTGGCACGTCTTGCTCAAGCCGTCCAAACATCTATAGCTAGTCGGCATGGCAGCACTACACAAAAAAGAATTGCGCCTTCAATCCATGGCCCGGGTCCGAATCGAACTGACACCTCCTGCGAAAACACGGTCAAGCCACGGAGCTCGGACCGGAGCCCCAAAGTTTCCACGTCAACGCGGGACTTTTCTGAGACTGGCCCATTCACGGGACAGATATTCGTGTACGGTCAGGAATCTTGGCGCCGGCGCGGAAAAGACACGAAGAAAACCGCAACGATGGTAAGTACATTACATAGAGCGTCGTAACTGACCTTGAACATTGAAGTTGAACTTGGCGAGCAACGTGATTTTCAAGGGTGTCTCGAATCGGAATGCTGAAGGGAGTCAAGGGAGAGGAACCCAAAACCCAAATCAGACTAAAAAATCGGTTCGGGCAACATATGGCCGGGGTCCGAGTCGAACAGACACCTTCCGCAGGATTCAGTGACCAAATATGCAACCTAGTGATTGCGGGTGCGCTCCACGCGCCGCCAGGCCGTTTTCTACGATTCGAAGCTGACCTGATCCGTGTTTGTTTTAGAATAATTGGTACCACAGGCAAAGAGTTGGTGCACTGCCCTCAGCGGAATGTCATCCAATGGCCTATGGGCGGTGCTTGAGCATATCGATTTGAGGAGGGAACATGACAAAAAACTCTGAGTGAAGAGCCACGGCCCGGGTCCGAATCGAACAGACGCCTACCGCCGGATTACGATGCATAACCGTCCTACGAAATCGCGGGCGCGCCCCAGGCGCCACCGGGCCTTATTCTCCACAGTTTTGAGCCTGATTACAACTGTAAGATTGGAGGTGCTCCGGCTGGAAGGGGCCAAACCATTTCGCCGCGTCAGGGTTGCCGCGGCGGCGACGCGGTGGGGACGCGGCGGTGACGCGGCGGCTCAAATTTTGAACCACGCCGTTCTCCTCTTTCAGTGGCAATTTCCCCCAGGTCTCATAGCAGAGAATGTACACACGATGTAGCTCTACAAGATGGCGCAGGAGTCAGCACCAATAGCAGCACTCATCTCGAAGTTATGGCCGTCGGAAGCATTTTGGCCGCGGCGGTGAAGCGGCGGTGACACAGTAGTGACGCGGTGGGACGCGGCGAAGTGGCTACGACTTCGCCGCGTCCCACCTATTTGACGCGGCGATACCGCCGCGCGGCGCGGCAGTATGCGGCGCCTCGAACTCTCCGACGCGGCGCCTGAACAGTCGGACGCGGCGCGTCTCCTGAAGGACGCGGCACATGTCGTCGTCGACGCGGCGATGTGCGGCGGGCTGCTCAAGGTCGATGCGGCAGTACCGCGGCGACGCATATCAGCTAGCAGTTGATTATGTGTGTGGTAGGCGCAGATCCCCAGGCTAGAATAGGTGACCATGTCGGTCATGAACATGATTCATGTTCAAAGCTACGATGGCATAGCCACCGCTATGGAATTCAACCATGACTTGTTCTGAGCCACTTTATGGACCAAGCTCTTTCTAGGCAAGGATATTGGCCAAATAACTTCACATTTGGGCCTTTCCAAGGGAGATATGGAGTGCAGGACACGCGCGGCGCGACGCGGCGAATTGTCTCGTGGCGCCGCGCCACGTCAATAACGGCGAGGTAAGTGTCATGCTCCACTGCAAATCGTGGTTACCATTTGTATAACCTCAACTAATCTGCTCCCAGAAATTCTATTCTGCGAAGGACAAGCTTGTCCGTCATGTTCAACGTTCAACGCTGCTGGGCACAGCCACTACGCGGCCGCGGTTGAACTCAACCCCCCACTGCAGTTTTATGGGTCAAATTATGGGCCTGCTCGAAGCCATTGAGCCAAGTATCTACAGCATAAGCATTGGAACATCATGCGCAGCATATACGAGACGTACGGCGCGGCGCGGCGAAGTGTCTCATTGCGGCACATCGCCGCGTCGCATATAACTGCCGCGCAAACACTCTGCACATGAGAATTTCAGTTGGGTGGGTGTCTACCAGCTGTTTTACGTGGTTTTTAGCCAAAATATGCGAGCCCAAACTCTCATCGCTCATACCCAAGTTCTAATCTGACCTCCCCCGAATAGGGAATTCCTGAACAACCGCGGCTGCAACAAAGGCGGATCCCGACCAGATTTACCAAGAACCTCCGGCTACCCGACGGCAGTCCTATGACGCCTTGCAAACACCACACTTGTGCCTGGAAAGTGGTCTTCGACATCCAAGAGGGCCCACTGCTCAGAGTCAAATAATTTCTGAAGTAAGTCGAGTATGGCCACTAGGCGTTGCACTTTAAAGGGAGCCACTCATCCTGAAAAAAGCATTTCACAGTTCGGCGCAGGAACCAGTCCCAGCACAGCCACTGTGTGGCCGCCGTTGAACTCAAGCACCCGCTAGAAGGAGTTGTATATGCCAAATCGTGAGCCGGCTCGAAGCTAATGAGCCAAGCATCCACATCCTAAGCATTGGAAAGCCACACGCACCATATACGAGCCGCGCGGCGCGACGCGGCGATGTGTCTGATTGCACCATATCGCCGCGTCACCCATAACTTCTGTGAAACTATCCTGTCCATCCATATTCCCGTTGGAGCGATGTTTTACGACTGTAATACATCGTTTTCAGTCAAAACATCCCAGCCCACATCTTCTTTCCGTACCCGGGAGTTGTGATCCCAGGCATGGCCGAATAGTAAATCTTGGAGGAACCACCCCGCCGAGTGCCCGGAGTACGATGGTTTATTGAACATTCTGAAGGGAAGCACTAGGCCTGGTGCTTGCTACGGCACGAATCATGCTCAGAAGCCCTTTCTTGTAGTTGGTTGAACACGCTGACCCAGCACAGCCACTGTGCCCGCCGCCGTTGAACTCAAACACCCGCTAGAAGGAATTCTACATATCAAATCATGGGCCGGATCGAACCTACTGAACCAAATATCCATATTCTAAGCATTGGAAAGCCACATACAGGATATACCACCCGGGCGGCGCGACGCGGCGAAGTGTCTCATTGCGCCATATCGCCGCGTCACTTATAACTTGGGCACAATCACTTTCTCCATCCAAATTCCAGTTGGAGGAGTGTTCTATAACTGAGATACCTTGTTTTCGGGCTTGGTGAAATTGACGCCACTGACGCCAAGTGCCGCCCTCTGACGCCTCGTGTGACGCCCCCCCCCCCCATTGACTAGGGCGCTGTTTATTATCCCGGTATGCAAACATGTTTATAAACACCTGGTTATAAACCGGTTTTTAAATGGTCTCGGCCAAATGGCCGGTTTACAATTATGTCAGCGGGGCAACTCTTGGGCAATTTTTGCACCAATCGACCGAAGTCTGGGGCATTTTAGAGTGGCCAAGAGCGAGAAAGAGAGACAAAATCACAGACTACCTTCAAAATTCTTCTACTGGACGGTTTCAGGCTACATTTGGCTCATCAAATTGCTGGTTTCACGCACAAGGTTCACCGACAAGGTCCTAGTAGCAGAACGAGCTGTGAGTGAGCATTTTGGTCGTACTTTGGGTGTGCAGCTCAAAAAATCACCTGTATAGGGCCAAAACCACATTTTTCAGTGCTGGTTTACAAACCGTTTGTAAACAGCCCTGTTTTTAATACCGGTTTGTAAACACGTTTTTAACTCCTGGGGAATTATAAACAGCGCCCTACCATTGACGCCCCCATTCTTTTGGGGCGTCAATTTTGTCACGTCACGCATCGAGTGCCGCCTTGCTGACACCCTCAGCGGCGCCCTCAGGGTGTTTTCACCGAATGTAAATAGGAAAATTTCGCAGCCAAGTTGTGTCTTGCTTCAATACTGATATATATATTCTGATAGACTTGGAGCTCAACATGGTCGAGGCAATTGCAAAAGTTCAACGGACTAGACAATAGGCTATATCTACGACCCAAGTAACCTTTGGTAGCAGTAACAGTGAACAATGCCACTTACCAGAAATTCTAAAACGGCATTTGTGGCCGTGAAAGACACAAAGAAAATGATATCACTTACTAAATGAAGGTTCGGTGCCCCCGAACAATGAACTGCTGCATTTGGACGCAGTGGCATTGGGAAAGTATATAAGGCCCAGATTTTCAGCTGTTCCCCATCTCTGGTTGACGACACGGTCCGCCGTCCCTCACATCAATTGGAGATCCCCCTGGTCATTAAGTGTTGCACCGAAAGACCGGGGCAGATAGCTGTTGTAGTGAGGCAAGTGTTGCACGGACCCTCATTATGTATCAGTTATATGATTGTCCGCGCAAACCAACTGCTACCCCCGATAGTTGCCAACTAACGTTACTCTGACTCCAGTTCATCTTCCTCCGCCTCATCCTGATCCTCTCCCTCATCCTGGTCCGCGTCTGAGTCCATGGCCATTTCCCATTTCTCTTCATCGTCCAGGTCATCCTCCCCGAAGTCGTCTGACTCTTCTGCCAATTGACGTGGGTCGACAGGGTCACACAGAAATAGAATGGGAAACTCACGCTGTTTTCCACGCCAACGATCGACTGGCTCGTGGTCAGATCCTTGCTCAGATGGATCCGAATACTGGTGTTCAAGTTAATAAAAGAGGCACACTAACTCACAACTTACCGCGTCGTCGAGGAGTTCCGCGTCATCGACGAGCTTCATGGTGTACTTGGGCTCATAACGCACAAATTGAAGTGACCCGTTCCGCTGTTGTTGACTAGAGTGAGTGAATGTCAAGTGATTGTGTGTGCCTTGGTGGATGAACAAAGCTCCGTCACGAAAGTGAAAGAGGGAGGACTCGACTCCACAATGAAGTTGTGCCAAAGCGTCCCCGCAGCTAGGACATGGGTGTTGCAGCTGTGTGTAGTGATCTACTTGGGCTTGAGGGCCATTGCATGCGCATGGCAGACCGAGTTTGGTTCTTTTTGATTTTTTTTTTTCAGTGTCGAGGCAAGGCAATCAGAGACACCTTCTTCATATCCTTGTCATTCAGTAAGTGCCATAATGCTACCTGATGCCCATAGCCTTGCTCACCCTCGCCCGAGCTGCGCTCGGCTCGAGTTCGCCGGGTAAAGATTACTGTCCAAGAAATGATTTTTCCGAGACATTGCTTTTTGCTCACCCTCGCCCGAGCTTCGCTCGGCTCGAGTTCGCCGGGCAAGGTGCCGAAAGCAGAAGACTGAAAAATTGTTGAACGTTGAACTTGCGTTGAACCAAATGATTTACTGAGAACGGCTAAGTGTAAGGCCGGGATGACTAAAGATGACTAAAAAGTAAGGGAATGGTCAGACAAAACAGTAAAGTAACCGCATTGAGCACCGAAAACACACGATAATTCCCTTATTAGGGTAAGTTTCCAACACCTTTGAACAACGTCATCGCTGCGAAAAACACCTACTCTGGCGCTAAAGCTGTGCATAACCGAGTTAAAAATAAATTTTTAAACTCGGAATCCCTCTGGCTGCCGGCGCAAGCCGTATATTGCAGATCTCATTGTGGCATCCCACAGGGGCATAATGCTCCGCTTATGAATCCATAAGCGACAGTGGTTTAGGTGCCGCTGTTGTCTCGCTGATGACAGGCTGGTTGCAGGCTTCTTTGGTGCCACTGCAAACATGTGCCTGATTTGCTGTCAAGGCTGGATGCCACGAGGCAACAATGAGTGTAAGCGCAACATAAGCGCAACACAAACCACTGTCGCTTATGAATTCATAAGCGGAGGGTCATGCCCCCTGTGTCCAATAACGCCAACACACCGACGGCGTAATTCGTGTCCTTTTTGCCATGTGAGAGCGCCAGGAGACCCACGACTGA